TCTTTCTTATAATCATTTTGTTAGAATTATATCCGTGAAGATTATCTATGCATCAGACGCAATTTCAGGTCCTACTTCTGTGTATATATCTAAAATTTATTTGTAGTCGTATTAGCATTTCGAAAATAAACAATTTTTTTTTTCGGATTAATAGAGAAAGCCTAACTTGAGTAACATTTTGTTAAATTCGACAACATCAATATGTATGTTTTAATATCAGGTAAATACAAAAATGAGACAATGACCAAAGGTGAATGATCGCAGTTCAAACAATGGCTAGTGCATGACAGGGTTAACGGAATAAATGAACGATTTATCGATTTTACTGTTAATAGATTGTTTTGTTAGTTAAAATTTCAATAGTCATAAACAATTTTTGGGGATAAAAAAAATAATTTTCTTTTTTATTTTGAATTTGAATAAGATCTTCACGCTACAACCATTATCTCATCTATGTTTGCTATATGAGTGGATCATTCATACTAATATTATAAAGTGGAAAGTTATAATTGTTTGTTTTTTTGTTTGCATCGACTAAGATCCCAAACTAGTGACCCGTTTTAAAAAAAAATATTTAACCTACGAAAAGCTAATCGCTTAACATGCCTTCCTAGTGTCGAGATATTATTTTTTTTTTATACCATTCTATGACTGGCCCTTGAAATAGTTACATAATTTATAATGAACTCGCTCTCAACTGCGCTTCGGATCGAGCTCGTCTAATCATTATTATGCATACTCTCAATCTCCTAAGTAGCGATGGTTTCCAGTCAATTATTTATGTAATAGGTTCAAAGACTAGTCTCGACTTAAAGACTTACCACGAACAACAAATAGTTGACTTATTTATTCCACGTTCCTTTAATTCACCGATTGTCAGTCAACACAGTTGATTACCACTTAGCATTGGTAATTATTATCGTTTATCACCAATTAATGTAAATAAAACAGACTCAATAAATTATAATATACCATATACTTAAATTTAATTTATGGAGCTATGTAACAATGAGCCAACATTGTATCTTTTATGATCCTTAAAAAACTTCAACTATAAAGTAACTACAATATCTTTTTTTATTTGTTGTACTTACTTTAATAATTTAAAAAAGGAACACATTTTTTTCTTTAGTCTACTTAGGAACGTATGCTACTAGTATTATAAAGAGAAAAGATAAGATTATTTGTTTGATACGAATAGGCTCCGTAACTACTGGACCGATTTTAAAAATTCTTTCACCTACTATTTTCGCAAATAAATAAATATTATTATTATTATTACAGCTGCAACTTACGTAGACTATAATCTACGCGCGCGAAGTCGCGGGAAATCTTCTAGTATTATAATAAGCTCATTATAAAGATTTTCGTACGATGATTAAGGACCGATTACCGTTTTAAATTTTCAAAGTAAGCCTGTTGAACTTCTCCCAAAGATCTAAAAGAAAGTCGTAAACAAGAAAAACTGCTTCGTTTTATATGAACACATAAAAACGACATTATTACGCCACAGCCATCAGTGCTATAGTAGCTATCAGCAACTCCGTTAAGTGACTTGTGCATGTCTGAGGTCTGTCTCGCATATATATTACAGTTTTTTGTTAAATTTAGTATCGGATCGGTACAAACAAGCATTTAAAGTCTTCCAAAATGCTTTTAAGGCATAATAATAAACAATTATTATGTTAAGCAACTTTTTTATAGTATCGAATTAATTTATGATGGGATGCATTAATTCTTTTAAGAATAAACCCTGTTTTGAAATTTCGTGATTTTTTTTTTTTGTTGATAAATAGGTTTTTGCATATTTTGATCTTATTCGCCGAATACCATGTTAAAACACGGTTACTTGAAGAAAACTAGGTCCGCAGTGAATATAATGCAACGTAATTTACATATCGACGCTGGAAAGCAAACAAGTAGTATAATAACCTGCAAAACCAAAATGGATATAAAAAATGAAAAATCTTATCTTTCCAAAAAATGTCTTATTTTTAATTTAGTAAAAAACATCCATGGGCTCCTGAAAACTGAAAAAAGCATTTATGAACGCTGATTGAATTAATAAAAGCTTTCGACATTATCATAAAAACAATTTATACGGGCAGATACACCATAAATTACCGCATGAAACTCAAATGTTTAAATCTGGAATATTTGATCTTGTAAAAGAACATTCAGACATCTGAAAACTCATGAGTGATGGTGATGCTTAATATATTAGAACAATTTACATGAAATAACAATATTAACCTACTTGAGAATTGCTGGACTGAAAGATACGTACGATAATGAATATACGCGTTATGGTATGCGCTATTTTACGATTTTCGAAGAGCATTATCCCTTGTGGCAGAGAAATGAATTGTATTCGGCAATCGTCGATGCTCATCGCGTTACTTGGAGCCTGATTCAGCTATCAGATAATACCTTTTTTCGCCCGAAGGGAACTGCCCTTAATATTAGGTCCGTGGATTAGGCAGCCATAGAGTATGTGCTATATAATTGCCTAAGCAGCTGTACCTAGTAAAACGCGCTAGGCCTATCCGTTACTCGCATAATTCGGGATTCTTTACTGTCAAGAAATTCCCGAAAATCTCAAGTAAAACTGAACTTTAGAAATACGGTAGCAACTTTGCTAATCTCCAGTCAGTTCAGCACACACCCGTTGCGTCTTTACGCTAAGGAATAACCCTCACACCATACAGGTGATTTTTAAATTACAAGAGCTAGATTTGGAATTTCTTCAACGTTCACTGTACGACGCTCACCAAATCTTGCGCTTAAAGAGCTTTAAGCATAACCAGACTTCAGATTCAGGGCTACATATTTTACAAGACTTGATTTTGCATTTACATTCTAAATACTGACGCAAGATTTTATATTGTACTAGTACTACACGTACATTTAGTAGAAAGTAAGCTCGTATGTATAGTTGACATAATTAAACTGGCCTAAAATTTTTGCGACAATACTGCATAATAGGAACTATTTAAATGCTTAAAGAGTCCACCTCTAGAGAAATGTTATCGGGCAAAAGTAATAGATTTTTTGTTTGCTTTTATCAATAAAATGCTTCCGTCTAATTCAATTGCATCACGTTGTATGTTTAAAATCTAATTTGATTCTACCAATACTTAATTATTAAGTTGGAATCACGGTTTCTAGTTTTATTATGAACTGAACTAACGAGATAAAATGGCGCCTTATCTTCATAGATGGACGTAATTAAAAGTAGTCCGCTAGTCTATAGACGGAAAGCCAAGAAATCGGAACTATGTAAAGGCATTATGCCTTTGATAATGATATAGAGGAAATCATGAAATCAATAATTACTTAATTTAAAAGCAACCCATTATTGTCTATGACCGAAGGCCAAGGAATCCGAAACTATATAGCATAGTGTTCACTATTCCTAGGATATTAATTTTCCGATGCACGGCTGACTAACCCGTGCACGTATTACGGATGATAACATGGGTATTGTACACCATTAATTCGTCATCAGAGCGTTACATGGCCTGTTGTCCTATTCGCTCCTATAGTTTCACATGGAGAAAATGGTAATGTCCATTAAAACTTCCTCGTTTTAATTCTGTTTTTCTATTTTCAGTTTTTTAATAAACTGTTTATTACGAGTGCAATAAGCAATGGATAATTAATATGAAATAATTAAATTACGTTTTGCTATTTTTATAATATTTTATACTTAAACATAGATGCTTACCTAATGATATCCTATCATACTAGATCTAGCATTCTTTTTTACTTAATTATTACTTACTGACATCTATCCTTTAATTAATTTTAGATTTCGTAGTTAATTTCAGAGGAAGACCTCTGAATATACATTATTCAAAGGTCTTCCTCTAAAATTGACTACTCATTTAACAAAATCCATAAACTATAAATAATAATGATCCATCGAATATGTATAATAAATTTTAATTAAGAATATCAAGAACAGTCTAGAAATTAAAAGTGAAAGATGTGTTATGCTTTCTTACGAGTTTTCGGAACAACTTCAAATAAAATACATTTTAATGATCCTCTCAATTTTCAAAATGGCTACCAGTTCTTTAAAAAAACTATCAAAGGTGTAGATTTGGTACAGATTGACTTTTGACACAGTTAAATCCAATTGGATTGAACGCCTGCTGCGTTAACGGTGGTGTGCCATTGTCGTTAGCTCCTTTGATCGACCTCTTTTTTTTATACGTAATTTTACGGCTACGGAATCTATCCGTACGGACAAGATTCATTCAAGTCGATTGACCTCAGTTGATTCAATCAATCACCATTGATAATTTGAAATTCGAACGCCGAATGGGGCGCTAAATTGAGCGCAGTGTTAATGTCAGATCTTTTTTAGATTATAAGATGTTTTTATGGACTCTAATTAATTGTAGATAAATATAAATATGAAAAATTGTATGCTTTTTATATACGCTGATTATATTACTGTGAATATAAAAGCAATACATAAGAATAGTTAAATGAAAACACTTGAGTTTTATTACAAAAAAATCTCTCATAAAAATATTTACTGATATAAAAAGAAATTTAATGATTGTAGTTATAATTCGATGCCAGTTCCGGCTCAGAGAAATGTTTTCGATGTCTCGGGCGTTTCAACCAATTAATGTATCGACCTAATAATAGTCAAGCTTTTTTTGTTACCGGCCCACACATTGACTGCAATTTCTATGAATATAAATGTATGCAGAATGGGGCTACATGCAAACCGAGTGAGATACTTGTTCAGCATAATGTTTGTTTTATAGTAAGACATACACTTGAATTGCTTAAAAAAATTACTTTTCGACGAATAGAGGTTACTTTCAGATGCCAAAATTAAACCGTAAAAGACGTTCCATTTTCAAACCTACCTGTTACGCATATACTTTTTAAGACTTTTTGGTGTTGAAATTTTGTTTTTTTCTTTTTTTATTTACCACTGATGCACTGTAGAATTTTAAAAAAGGTATCAAAAAACTTACTCGTCAAAATCCGAACGCTCACGTCACCAACACAAGCACTTTCGAACGTTTCAAAAAAGTTACGCGCGAACTTTTTAGCCTGTGTCGTCATACGTGTCGACGCGGCGGCAATGGCAGCAAGACTGGGTGCGCGGCAACGGTCCCACCGGCTAATATATCTCATACACTAGTTTTCATCGTCTTTCACTGGTTTAAGCCGCGAGCAGTCGGCGAACATTTTCTGGGTTAATGAGGAACCTGCACTTGGCCGTTTTCTAAGCGTTTTCGAATTGGCTAGCGTTAGGTGCCCACAAGCGCGTAGGCCTCTGTGTTTGTTATGCTCGCCTGGTACTTTTGTAATAGACATGATTTTTTTTTTTTTTCAAATGTATTAATAAAATTAATGAATTTTTTGGGTTTACTGAAAGTGTAAAACGGACGCTGTTATTAAGACTTCGCTGTCCATCTGTTTGTCAGTCCGTTAATCTGTCACCAAGGTATATCGCATGAGCCGTGATATTTAGACCGTTAAATTTTCATAGATAATCTATTAATGTTGCCGCTATAACAACAAATACTATTAAACAGAATAAAATAGATATGTACAGGGGCTCCCATACAACAAATGCGTTTTTCATAGATTATGGTAAGGCACCCTTCGTGCGCGAGTCCAACTCGCACTTCTCCGTTGTTTTTTTATTTATGACTGGCAGCCTACTTCGGCTTTGCACGGATATCGAAGTTTTTATATGGATCTCTAATGTTTATGAAAATATTCTATCGCCTAATATTCTATTGGTAAAAAAAATCAAATCGGACGATTAGTCTTTTCAATACAAACAAACAAACAGTCATATCTTTTCTCTTTGTAATATTAGTATAATAACTATAGATTCACTATTTCTAAAACAAATAATAGATATTAGTTGTCGGCTGAACCATATCGCCAATGCGAAACGGGGAATAATGTTGTTGCTATGTGCAACCATGCGTTACAAATCTGCTACAGATTCTAATGAAAGCTATTTTCAACCTTAAACAATCGGAAATAAAGTATTTTTCCTTATTAAATCTTCTAAATAACTACATTTCCATCATTATAATATCATTTTGTACTTTTGGACAACGGTTATCCTTTGGAAAGCGCGATGTCGTTCAAAACTTAACAATAACCTACTTTTTATGAAAGATACTATAGAGCTTATGCATGCAACTTTTACTCCGTTTAACACTGATATCCTGATAAAAAAACGGTCAAGTGCGTGTCAGAATCGCGCATGAATTGTTCCTTACCGGAAACGAGCAAAAAAAACACGTTTGTCGGATGGGAGCCCCTTTAAATATTAATTTTATTCTGTTTTTTAGTATTTGTAGCTTCAACATCTGTGAAAATTTCAACTGTCCAACTTTTACGATTCATGAGGCACAACCTGGTGATAGACAGACAGAGAAGTCTCAGTAATAGGGTTTCCATTTTACCCTTCAGGTACGGTACCATAAAAACCAGCCAAGTGTGAAACTGCTGACTATATCAATTGCCATCCACAAATCTGGAATAACCAGTAAATAATCATAAAAAAAACCTGTAGGCTATTTACATTTGCTTAACAATAATACTTAGCTGAAGTGTTGGAAGTCTCTACTGATATTATAAAGAAGAAAAATACCTAATTTGTTTGTTTCAGATTTCTGTAATATACCGTAATAGGTCATTATACTCTGTTTATAATAATACTTGTAACTGTCTGTTATAAATAACAAAAGCCATAAAATAAATATATCGCAATAAAATACACGTTATCTTACCTTAAAATAAATTTAAACTTTTTTATACCCCCGAAAACGCTGTCCGTCAAATTAATGACGTCATTCTGAATACATAAAATATGCATCTGGCATAGAGTAGAAGATTAAAAGATGTCAATAAAACAAGAACAATGCCATCTAACGATCGATTACCAAATAAAAAGACGTAAGCTAAGAAGCTTATTTATATATTTCTATCCATGAGCCAATGGCGGGTCGTGCTTCAACTTACGTGTTCTTCAGACAAAAAAAAATCACGACTTTTAATTTTAAGATAATAAGCTAATAGAGCAATTTTAAGACTCAAAATCAGAATCTTTATTCTTATTACGATTTAAATTTTAGTTTTTGTGCAAAATCTTCTCTTAATTTTACTACCGCAACTACTCTATTGCTTTAAGTACGTATCTTTGGATCTCAGCTATGTATGTGATGTTGTCTGATATTAAAAAATAATTAATATTTCCAATATCTCAAAAACTATTAATTTACTTTGTATATATCCCATATACCTACCTCTTTTATGCAAATGTTGCAAGGCTATGAGTTGGTGAAGTGAAAATAACAAAATTGCTACGTTTAGGATAAAAAATCAGAATTCTTTTTATTAGTAAATAGTAACCAAAGCATTTTTTTTTCACTGTACATTTACGACATTAACATACATAAGGATTCAAGGATTTAATAAAACCTTTAAACGGACTTGAGACAATCATATTATTTTAGGTAATACCTTTTAAATATCTCTCTCTTACACCACACATTTTGTCTATAACATCGAGTTATTTTTACAACTCCACGGAACCCCAAAGTAAATTTATAGCGACAATTTTTGTTGAAAAATGCCAACATCTGAATGTAACAGCCAAAATTAAAAATACTTAATGAACTCACAATCAAAGGCAACATTTTTAAATTCGAGAAATAATTTTTGTTTTTAATTACGTTTTGTTATTATTCCGGCAATCAGCTCATCATGAAGTTTCATAAACACATATTGTCGGGGATAGTACAATACCATGTTCAGAGAATTAACAAATTAACTGTTAATTGCATGCGTTACCTAGTAACGCGATACAAAATAACGCGGACAGTTTTACAAAATACTGTCATTTTGTTTAAGTATATTAGATACTTTTTTTCGTGTTATATTTTTATTCATAATGTTGAATAACAACTGCCCATAGATATTTTCATTTATTATATAGAAAAAAAGTAAGTTAATATGTCACGATGTCTGACTGAATGGTCTAACCTTACTCACTAATATAATCTGCCGAAGTTCCTCAAATTCGAGGACCGACGCTTGAAATCGTTGAAGCTTGAAGTAAAAAAAAATTCGTTCACCTATCCACCTATCCATTGACAGGCCATAGCTAAAGTTGAATACTTCTGCAATTGGCGACCACCACACTAACCCTATTCCATCAAGCTCTTAAGCGCTTACTTATTTAGGTTAAGTTCTAAGAAAGCAATTTAACTTATATTTGGAATGAACTGTATGAACGCATACTAGGTAAGTCTTGTCGGACGAAACTCCTTTATATCTGCCGTATTGCTATAATCCAGTATTACTCAAACTGTTGGCTCCACTAATCCAGTAAAAGATTTCAGTGAACCCCTTAAGTAACCAATCTTAATATTAATGTGATAGTCCACCGACTTGTTTTTAGCCGGAAAGTGAGTCAATTTTAGGAATAATTTTGGTCAATTTTCTTCTCCATCGTCAAGTCATGGAGCCACCCAGCGCTGGCTCGATGAAAGTAAGGCAAAACACTAGAACTTGGCACCCCAGGCAGAACACTGGAACGATGTCCATAAAAATTACAACGAAATAAATGACATAGGAACACCGATTAAAACGTTACCGATAAAAACAATACTACATTTTAAAGTTCAAATAATAAGAGCAAACGTAATCTGTTGGCCCTGCTATGCTACCCCAAATTAAGAGCATCCTAGGCGTTTGCCTAGTTTGCCTATATGGACAGGTCTGACCTGGAGCCAAAGTTACGAAAATGTTTTCGCGAACCCCCTACCGTGAATGACAAATCCCTAGAGTTTCGCATAACTCAGTTTGAGAAACCCTGCTGTAATCTATGGAGTTGATGTACCACACATTGTTCAGATGAACCGTTAACATAGTGCAGTAATACGTAGAATAGTAACACAAATGTGAGGAACATCCTAAACAAAAGTCAAACGATGATTTAACATGTGCATAAATATAAGGAGACAACGAGACGAAAGCAAAACCATAGTAATCGAAACAAATAAAAACAGAGGATGACGTATTACTTATTAGTATGAAATAAGAACTGAAGAAGCTCGTTGGCGTAATGGTTCGCGTGCTCAGTATGGCATAGTTAGCAAGCAACTTTCGCAATGTCCGGTCATAGGATGGATGATCAAAAATTTACTATCTCAAGCTCGGTGCTTCGGATGGAAATACCCTCTATTAAGTTAAACATTTAAATGTTCATAAATAGCCAATTAAATATTAAATCGTCTTAATATTTAAATTAGAAATCATATTCGTCTTCTAAGCGTAGGAAAAAATCCTCTATTAACTATAACTAAATTCAAATAAACGTTGCAAAAATGACTTTGAAATGAAGAAACATTTCCCCAGATCTTACATTACTTTTCGTATCTAAACTATGTCACAAACAAATCGCTCAAACTACAGAACTATTCAGCAAAGCAAACTCGCAGCTTAACCGGGTCCAATTAAACTTAACTAAACCGAATGTACGCTGCAGCGCATTCCTGTAGTTAAATCAATGTTAAGTAGTTTACTTGAGCGAGAACTACTGATTTCTATTCTATATAGGGACCACACTGAAAGTTTTTAGGGAAATCCTTTATCTTCGGGATTTTTTTTTTTTTTATTCTCAATTCTGTTCAGAATTACGTTTAAAAAATAAATGTAATTCGGACATAAAGTTACAAACATTCGGAATGGTTTATCCAAAAAGTATTTTACACTCGGAATAAATACATGTGCACAATCACCATTATAAAGTAATATACTAAAATATTGTGCAACTAGTTGTGTTGGACCTCTTTTTTCATGACATCTTCTATAATTATGATCCGATTACTTGTAAAATGTAACAGTAAAGCAATGCGACGTAAATGAGATGTGTAAAAGATTGCTTTTTTAATATTACATTACCGACTTCTGATTCCCAGAAATTTATTCATTTCAACTGTCTGTTAAAAGAATTTGTGCTTTACTATAAAACAGTCTTTGAGTCTGCGGATATTTTAGGATTTCCTAGACTAACGTTAGCCGAATACTATAAGCCAAGAGACAGTGAACAGATTAAATCACCC